AAGGTTTTGCTTTTATGACTTCTGGAGCTGGTACCCCCTGAAGACGTCAGCTTCATATGTCATATTTATCCATTTTTTTCATATTTCACTGTTTCTCTAGTGAGCTCTCATCTGAGAATTTGTTGTTAAGTTTTTAACAACATAGTTTCTTTATCCTTTAATATTTGCCAGTATTATTTTCCAAGCAGTTAATTTTTCGCTCATTGTTCTCTGCTTTTCGATTCCACACTGTATGGCAAAAAATGTTCGCTTTAGTAAGTTCTAACATCCTTTACAGTAGTGACCATCAGCTTTGTTTCACTTTATGTATTTTGGCAGCAGTTAACTGCGAAAACTTCGCCTAAGATAAAATTAGATACAATTAGAATTTAAGATAAAATTTCATTTTCTGAGCAAAAGTTGGATCTATGATTGAGCTTCACTTTAACCGTACACTACATTAGAGTATTTCGGTATCCACTTTAATGTAGTGTCCATAGTGGTTTCAGAGTCAACAAACTGTTGGGGGATTGAAGAGAATGGTGATTACTACCACCATCTTCCTTCCAATTTAGATAGTGGTGATATAGGGTGCACCAGTAGTTCTTTTAAATCATCATTAAAAATGAATATTAAACCGTCACCAATATCTTATTAGATCTAGAGAGATGTTAACAACCAAACCAAATCTGCCTATTTTTATACTTCAAACATTTTAAATGTGTTTAAAAATATTTTTATTTTATTGTAAAACAAAAGGGCAAGTAAGAAAATAATGGATAAATTCTATTGTAATAATGTTTTTCCTTCTTTTCTCCTTTATTTAATGTTGACACGGTCATTTATTTAAAAGTCAGATATAAATTACATAATAGAAAACAAAGCCTATAGTTTAACGAACGAGAAAAGTGTTAGTAATGCCCCAACAAGTCAGTAAGGATGTACATATTTTTCAAAGATAAATGTTTAAACTTATGATTATATTATCAGGGATATTAAACAGCAAAACCATTTTCATCCAGTGCTCCTTTATGTATTGTTAACTTAACCCATCACAGATTCTTCAAATAAATGCTTTCAAAAGAACTAAAATGGCTTTTATCAAAAAATTCATCAAAAGACAGAGAACTAACATTAATCATTTCACAGTTGCTTACCATTATATTGCTTAGAGTTTCGATTTATTTTCCCCAGACTATTTATTCACTTGTAAGATAGACTTAGAAATGTAGTATTTTCTAAATTCCTTTTCTTCTTTGAAGTACAAAGAAAAAAAACTTTCATGACAGATAGTGAAGAGTTTTTCTTTATTTTGCACAACTCATGTTTAAAAGAATGAAAACTGAAAACATGTCAATTCTCCTTCTGCGTTGAAAAAAAGATCATGAATTATTAACCCTAATTTTGGTTTTTCTTCTTTTTTTTTTTCAACTTTAAGAAAGAACATACAACCATTGCATTCATGCTTTCAGTTTTGGCATACATTAATTATTCGAAGACGTTGCTTCAAAAATAGCAACACAATTTTTCTGGGTAGTTAAAAAAATATTTACATCTCTGGGGAAAAGTTGCTTTTTAATACAGTTTATAATCGTACATATTTCAAATTTGATTGTGAACTTATAAAAAATTATTGTTTTCAAACATAAAGGCAATAAATAATAATTTATTTAATACATTCTTTTCACATTCTTTTTGTTGCCCATTTTAACCGAACTTATTACCTTCTTTACACAACCAAGAAGCCGTGTAATTTTGTTTGAAATCGAACAAAGGTTGTCCTGAGAGGCAAACTGTTAAATAATAATACACCGAAATAACATACATAATATGTAGAAATAATATGTAGACAAATTTAGTCAGATCTGATATTTTTATGTATTAAGAATTTTTTATACATTAAGATTTTTTATATTATCAGAATCAAACTAGCCAAACTCTGTTTTTAAGAAGAAGTCTTTGATTTCTTTATTTATGTGATCAATCTCAAACCTTGTAGTTAAAAATATCAGGATATGCATTTAAATTTTAATAAGCTTTAGAACAACGAATAATAGGTGTGGGTCATAAACATGTAAATTAATAAATGAAACCAAGAATAAAAATAAAATTGATTAAATTTAAATAAAAGATTCAAAATACCTTCGTAAAATGGAGTACACTTACACTAAAAAAAATTTCCATGATACTACACAAAATTTCTGGCAACAAAATTGCCGCAAATTTTCTTTAAAAAGAAAAAATACGTTTAAGAAATTTTTTGTAAAATCTTCGTACATAATAGATCCTTTTCATTAGAACAGGTTACGATATACGTCTGTACAGTTGATGTAAAAAAACTCTTGACGTTGTCTGTGAACCAGGAGACATAAAAACAATCCTTACCCCTACTCGAGCTGAACCTCATGTCTGACGTACTTCTATTTTCGTTTACATAACTTGGTATTTTTAGAATAAACAGAATTGCTACAAAAGACGTTTTTTCTAACAAAAAGTATCTGGTTTTTCACCTGCAAAACTGGTCTCTTCATTTATAAATGAAATTGAAACATTTTTTTCCAATATTACTATTACCCTCCGAAGCAGTATTCAAAATTTAAAAGAACGCAAGAAGTGGGTAAAAGAATTCAGGGGGCTCACGAATACGGTGCAGAATTCCAGATCATTAAAACCACATGGACAAAGATTCCTTTGTTGGGAAGGATTCATTTCAATTATTTAAAAAATTGGTATGTATTTTTTACCGGAAATGTTTTATGCTTTAAATTTGTAATTATGAAATGCATGAATTGTTATAAAGCTAATATAACTCTTTATTCAACAACATTGAAATAACAGATTAATTATCTTAATTATTACATCACCAAGGAAAGAAAAAATAGCTTGAAACTGATAATTATTGAATTAATTTGCTATTTTATTTACTATCTTGGATAACTAATAGTATTAAATTTAGTAATTGACGCGTGGCGCCCTCTTTCCGTGATAAAATCAAATGAAAAAATCTGAATAAAGTTCTATCTACCTACTTATAACTTATTTTAACTGTTTCCTTGCTCTAGTTTAATGTTCATTGATTTCAAAAACTCTATTTGCATAAAAGCATAAAAATTAGGCTATATCTTAAAATTATTCTTTCAATTTTTTACCAGAACTTTCATTGAATTCAAACATCTGAATTTCATTTCTAAACACCCAACATATAAAATCTGTATGAATGACTACAGGTTTTATCTGTTTACCGAATAAGTAATTTTACAGTGAACTTATGTAGTTTTAACGAACGAAAATTAAACGAAATTCATTTACCGGAAGACTAGTTTTAAAACCACCATGAATGAGGTGCGTGATTGACTCCTGAAGATGATGTTTCACCAGTAGTATCTAATATTTTTTATGATATTTAATCAAATAGGGATAGCCAATTTTCCTCTTGTAATTCAAGGAGAAAATCGTGCATTGAAGAAATATTTTAATACAACCAAACAGAACATAAAAAGACTTGACCGATTTCAAACGAAAATACCTTTCAGACAAAAAAGAAGATTTAAGAGAATACGCCAAAACTGTAAATTCCTATTCATAAAGTTCAATCCATGCCCTTTTATTCTTTCCGTAAATTAAAACTGACTGAATACCTGTCAGGAATCTAAAATGAATACAGTTTTATGAAGCGATTATACATGACAGAAGCAGATACATTTACACAGACGCATAATTGCAATCCATCTGACAGAAAATCCGACAAACACCCCGCAATTAATCACGTAGACAGGTAGCAGTTTTAACCTTAGGTAAACACAGACTATTGTCGTATTGATTACACTAATCCAGCTAATTGTTTCTCGAAATTATATCTCGAAGTGCATATCCAATAGCTATCATTAATTTACTATAACCCGTCAAATGGATTTATAGCTTAGCTCTGAATAATCCATGATGCAACTCATGATTTCTTCCTTCAATAATTAAAAAAGTCGGGAGTAAAATAGTGATAATCCACATCTTATAAACATTTAACTTCCGTACTACAAGAATTTATTTTGAACGATATCGTTCTTTCAGCTCAAGGAATTATGAAGTCTTAATTTTTAGCGGTAAATTCAGTAACTGCAATGAAAAATATATTTTTAGAAAAGATAAATCCGTTTGACTCTAATTCTATCATTAAAATATCTTATAAGCATTTAACATCCGTACTACAAGAATTTATCTTCAACGAAAGCGTTCTTTCAGCTCACGTAATTATTAAACAAATGTTTATCGGTAAATTCAGTAATTGCAATGATAAATATATTTTTAGAAAAAAATAAATCTGTTTAACTCTGAACTTTAAGTTGAGTTAACATAAAAAATTTTTAATTCTCAACATTACTCAAGAAGTCTTAAAAAAACTATAAAAATGTTAATCAAATGGAAGTGCAATTATTTTACAGGATGTCAACAAACTCATTTAAGAAATTTTAATGGAAAAAGTACTATTTTTTAAGTGTGACTTTTTATTGAATCATAAAGTATGCAGTTTATGGTTACATATCGAATAGAATATCCGGCATATGGCCCCCTCAGCTTATACAAATTTTAATGTCAAACTCTTCAACAATGCGTTTAACATGAATTTTGCTGAATTTCATTTACACAGCGCTTAATTCAAATTGTGAAAATCATGTAATAGTTGACATAAAGTTAAAAAATACCAAAAAAATAAATTTAAAAAAAAACTTGAAAAAGTTTTACGGATGCTAACCTTAGGATATAAATTGACAATAACAGCGTAATATTACCACATTTATAGTAAGTTTTAATCATTTTGGTTCAAGGTTACTCCAGGGAGTGTGTATCAAAAAGAGCTCTATGTTGCAATGATTACAATTATCAAATGAAACTTGTTTTTTGCCACATTACTATGAGTTAACAAATTTTCAAAGTATGTTTGAAACTTTAAGAACAAGCTTAGAACTTCAAAGATAACTAGAACATTACCTAACTTTTAAAATAAGTAAGTAACCAAAAAATCATACCTGCCAGGTAAGATAATGAATTTGCAGCCCAAATATTTCAATCAGTCAATAACAGACCATTTCTCTTTATCTGTAAAAAAAATTAAATTGAAAAATACAATTAACAGTATAATAATTAATTTATACATAATGTATCTATCGCAAATTATAACGATTCAGTTTAGTAATTAAGAAAATTAATCAAATAAGGTTATTAATTAATTAATAGTCTTATTTTACGTAACCATCATTGTTTATGTTGCTCTTGCTAGTTTTTTTTTCTAATTTGCATTTTTTTTTAAATTTTAAAAATTATTCACCTGCTTAGCAATAAACTATCTACCATGTAAACAAATGGAATATGCAATGCTCATCAATAAGTCTGTTATGGAACTTGCAAAAAAAAATTAATATCGCGAGTCATTAAATGATTTTAAAATTACGCAAGCTCAATAAAATTGAGCAAAAAAATATCAAATATATTCTTTTAAATAATAAGTAATACTCATTAGCAAACATATCAGTAATTAAATTCGTATTAACAGACAATATTTTTCCTTAAGAATATGGTATGCATTCATTTATTATCTTAGAATTTACTTACGAAACTAAGCGTGTTGACATGGAACACTTAGGGCAGTTCCCAAAAATTAAAAGATCCGAAACATCATTTTAAAATGATGAAAGAGTTGCAAAATACCTAGTTTTGAAAATAAATCTCTGATTCACTTGCTTAAGGTATATAAATGTTTAAAAAAAATCTAACTGAAATTTAACAGTAGTAAATTAAAACTTTCATTCTAATTTTAAACATTTATAGACTCACTTAGCTACGGATTCATCACTTCGTGACTCTGCATTACCACCATCCAAAAACATTCTAGAAAATATGTGAGCAATAGAATTCTTAAAGAACAAGATGGGCTCTATATTCCGTTGATAGTTCATTATCATAATTCTATTACTTTGAATCGATGCATAATTAAACATTTCAATTCCAAAACGTTTAACATTATTATGTTGCAGTATAAAAAAGGCAACAGATTTGAATTATATAAAAATTATGTTGGCCTTTATCTTATAAATGAATTAGCATATCAGTATATTATCACATAATAACCATATCACTACGTTTCCTCAAAAAATACTACTCCATATTAGCTCCAATTTAGATAATGTTTCAAGATATATTTTAACAAAAACTGTTTAATATTATCACATCTCGGATAAGAATTTAATCATTTTGATCCAAAATTACTCTAGGGAATGCGTGAAAAATAGAATTCCTAATCAACAAGATGGGTTCTTTTCATAACTTTTGCAGAATTCTCGAGTTTTGAAAGATTAATGTGGATAGCTGGAAATATCTCTTGATTTTATCCATATTTTCCTTCTTGATATCCTACTATTTCCCATCTGCTTTATCTCTAAAGAGATATTCATCAAGAAGTTAAGATGAATTACTGAACTTTAGCAGCGCTTGGTATTATTGGTTTATTTTAACATCTATGGGACAAAGAACAATTTGCTAAGTGTCAAACAACTCATAGAAAACGTTATGTCTTAGTAATTCAAATATTAATACTACTTACTTGTATAAAAACAACAACTTCGTTTCTGTATATAAAATTTAATGAATATTCTTACTTCATGATTCTTTTTTTTCCTTCAAAACTCTACATTTAAACGAGAAAAAAAGTAGTTCATAGAAATATCTTTCTGTATCCGAGATCTCCGAGAACTAACAATATTTACTCCTTTATTTCTTTTTCTGCACTTTGTCAAAAAATAGTCATGATTGTTATTTACTAATAAAAAATTACATATAACGCTGCAATTATCCTCTGTGAGAATTATATACTTCAAAAATTGAGATAATTTATATATATATA